CTCAAAAGTTTTTCTGCAAAATACCATTGTGACAAGGGATTCACAGAATTCACAGTCACATCCCTGACTGATGCCAAAGAACTGGCAGATGAGCTGGAAATCAATGCTAATTTTCCACAGGAAGAACAACTTAGAGCACAAGTAAATAAAAAGGATGTTTGTTTATCAGGTCAGATGAACTGTTTACTAATCTAGAAAGGAACAATAAAGATATATTTTTTGTTGCATTTTGAATCCTGCCACACAGTCACTTGAAGAAAGATTTTTTTTAAACTATGAGGAATGTGATAAGCTGTTGGGTTTTTGCATAATTCCTCAGAAACATTAAAGGTGCCCATAAAAATGACAATAGCAGTGCATTGTTTGAAGGAAACCATGAGAAGACAGACAGACAGCATGGTGAAGAGCTATTTCTTACATAAATACCCTGGAACATTGTAACAAACTTGGCAAGGGAGGCAAGCTGGAACATGCCCAAAAGCCATACTGGAGTTTCTGAGCTTTAGTCCTTGTTTGCAAACATACAATTGCTCTCAAGACTCCATTAACCTTCCCTGTATCTGTCACAAGAGAAGAGCTTTTTGAAACTGAAAAGGTATATTTATGTGCTACAATGTCTTAGTGTTGGTTGCTGGGTCTTCCTTTAGTTTCATTTGAAAGCCAAATCAAAGAGAGTATTGATCTGAAAGATGCCATCCACAAATTTATATGCATTAAAGCAAGAAAAGTTAAATTCGTGGCCAGTTCCTAGAAAAGGGGAGATGGGAGTTGGAGCACTTCTTTGGGTGGTGGGAGATCAGCATGAATGCCTTACCTACTAGGGTGTAACAAGACACCCTGCTGTTTTCTAGAAAAAAGAAATAATCTTGTGTGCAAAGATCAGATGACAGGCTCCCAGCTCCTAGGTAAACACCCAAAGCTCTGCCAATGGAGATAGTTTCCCTCTTGGCCTTGCTCCCTGGCATGATGAATTCTGCCTTCCTGTCAGCCCGGTGGCACAGCTTCAAGAGTTAGGACTTCCAGTCCCTGAAGCCATTGCCAAATTAGCCGGAAGCATGCTGATTAAGTCCCTCTCTTGGATGATAGGAGTCCTGGGTCCTCAATTTTACTTAGAGGACCCATTATGCATTTTATGTTAACCAACCACTGGCTTAAGAAAAGAACTAAAAAATCCTAGGCACAGATACTAGAACCCATGGCTAACCACAGTGAATATATAGAGGACTGGGCTACAAAGTCCAGCTCCTTGTATACCACTCTTCCTAGCCCTCTTATTTCCCAGGAAAGTATGAATGCCTGGGTTAATCCCAGGGGCAGGAACACTCGCATCCACCTGTTGAAACGTGGGCATTTTCCATGAGGCAGAGTGAGCATACATGATTTTTGTAGTAACAATCACTTTTAACCAACAATCATACAAACATACCATTTCATGAAAACATTACAGGGCAGTTCCCATCCACAAATCCCTTTCCTTCTTATGTCAGGGGGGAAACAAGTTAGGGCAGAGTTCATGGATGTCCCATCCCATTTCCTCCCCACTCTCACTTATCATCTATGTCTGACTGGTCAGAGTTGCCCCTTACAGAATAGCACCACAGATCAGCCCAATTTCTTTCCCACCTGTGGAGAAGAAGTGAGCTACACTTCCTCCTCTTTCTCTCTGACATCCAATTACATCTTGAAAGACCAATCTGAAATAATAGATTAATTGGAAAATTTTCCCTCCCTTCTCTCTGCTTTCCCCCACTAAATTGCTTTCAACACATCTGAATTTTTTTTCTACCTTTACTAGGTGCCACAAATTTGCCAATGCCCTTCAGCAATCCCTGTTCCTCTTCTCTCATTAGGGTTTTAAGTCCCAGATGCAGGTTCTCTGCTTCCAGAAGGATTTTTGACCAGGGGCACAATTATTATTGACTTGGTTTACTTGGTAACAGTAGGTAGTGATTTTATGTACTGGGCCACTGGGTCTGGCCTTGACAAATTAGCATCTGAAATCTTTGTTTCATTGTTCTTGAGTAAAACATCAATAGGAATACCCTGTGACATTGCCACTGTCAGAATTACAGTACCTTATCTGGTGTCCTTATTGTTTCCGGCTACAGACAGAGCAATGCAGCTTATTACTGTGCCTTTTGCCCATACTTGTTTGTCTGCCAGCCCCTGACTGGACTGTGCCAGCCAAAATTTGACCAGGTTACAGATAGTCAGAGGTCCTGTACCCCTCACATGTCTCCCCATTGATTTGCATGTCCTGATGCCAGTGGGATCTGATCTGATTCTATTCTGGAGGTTACAAAAAACTTATGCAGAGGTTTGGGGTCTGAATTCTGACACATGTATACCCCACATTTCTTCTGCTTCCACTCACAGGATTAGCTTGCTGCATAGCTGGTGCAATCTCCCTATTGTCTATCCAGCCTGGGGTTGCCATGGGATATGCCCAACTTCCTGATGTATGGCTATATGACAGCTCACTCCCTTGTTCCTGGCAGATATATGCCTCTTTCTGGTCCCCACTTATGCTCGCTCTCTAAAAATTGGCTGTCTTTAACAGTTGGTCTGAAGTTGATGTTCTCCCTGGTTTGGGTTTACCCAATTTATGTCTGTAGGAAACACTCCATACTCCCCTCATGGGTCCCAGGAAGGGACTTCAAACAGAAGTCTCAAGGCAAAGGACAAATGCTGGCAGCATTTTCAGCTCTTCTCAGAGCACTGGCTGGCTAATTTGTCCCAGCCCCTGCAATTTTTCCACTACAGAGTTAACTCGGGATTAGGAGGCTGAAAACAAGGCCTTTCTAACCTGATAATGATAACAGTAGGCTCTTGATTAATATTATTTTTCCTTTAACTTTTAAGATATACATAAGATGTTCAGCCCAGTATAATTAAGTTATGTACAAAACGGAAATGTAAGTTATTCATGGTGTGTCTGATCCAAGATCCTTTGAGTTAATGAGAGTCCATTTTCTTCAAATGGCTTTAAATCACAAACTTAGTCACTGCCAAGATGCTCCCAGTGATGTGGTTTCCTCTCAAAATGTCCTAGTGGAAGGCATTAAAATAAGAAGGGACTTGGAATCCCCCAGGCTAGTGAAACAATTAATCTGAAAAGATGCACCAATTTTACCTTTTACTTTTACTATAGTCTGTGATACCAGATACACTGCCTGTCCTTCTTTTGCCACCAAAAGGAAAGATGTCTTAGTAGTCAGAACACTTGCTTGAGCTGTAGAAGACTGAGATTTGATATGCATCTCACCACAATATCTCTTGTGTGAACCTGGGCAGGTCATTTAGTTCCAGATCCCCCAAAATTTTTAGATGTCTACCTCTCAGATTTCAGTCCCCGGGATGGAGATAGGCACCTAAATATCTTTCAGATTCTGCACCTTACTCTCTGTGCTTTAACTTACAAATAAGAAACTCATACTTCTTAACCTCACAGGGGAAGAGGGGTTGTAAGGATAAGTAATAAAGATTCAGAAGTACACAGAACCAAATGTAGGCAGACCTTTTGCATACAGACTGAATTCTGGTTGTTGGACAAATAGGAATTTGCTGCTGTTGCATTTAAAATAGAAAGATTCCCCTTCCTTGTCGAGTATTAGACAGATGTAGCCAGAACCAGTCAAAGCATTCTAAGCTATTTCATTTGTTCTCATTTACAAGAAGGAAACAATTCCCCACCACCTTGTGTGGAGCAAGACTTTGAGAGGGCTAGCGTAGGAGAAGCGAATAAGCAGGCAGAACAGGGCTGGCACATGAGGGAAGAAGCAATCTGCTCCATCTAAACAGCCAAAGGTGGTTTCTCCCCTAACCTGGAGAGAACTTCTCATAGTTCTGTGCTCCAGTCAAAATTATATTACCATTTAGTGCTTGAATAATGCACTCTACACTCTTGCTTTAAGCATATGCATGGAAGATCTTGCTGTGACGGTCGCAGGACTCCATACAAGCAGACTCAACAGGTCTCTGACTAGACCTCTTACATGTACACATTGATCCAGAGGATTGACAGTTGCCTACTAGTACTTTCCAGCTTTTCCTTTTCTTGCTTTTTTTAGTGGCTTACTTATTTTCCAGCCTAAATGCATGCTCAGTGTTTGTAGCACCACCAGTCAGGAACCTGCTCTCTGCTTGCAGATTAAACCATAAATATAACTCAAATGTGAATATGAAATGAGAGATTCCACATCCTCCCTAGGTGATCTATTCCAGAGCTTAGCCAGCCTTATGGTCAGACCAGTGATTCTCAACCAAGGTGATGGGGTACCCTAGGGGCTTCCACCAGAGCCTTTGAAAGGTGCTATGAGGTGTGAGGAAATAAGCGAGGAGTGAGAATACAAGTAGATAAATGCAAGCTTAGGCTTGTCTGTGCCTGGCTGATCCCCCACCCCTACTGTCCAGCCCCTCTGCAAGGAAGTAAGCACTGTAATAACTAAATTAATTTTTCAAATTGGGTGCCACTCAAATCACAAAAGTTATGGAGGGGTGCCTAAAGTCCAATGAGGGGTGCCTCAAGTTCAATAACTAATGCTTCAAGTCCAAAAAGTTGAAAACCACTGGGTTAGATGGTTCTTCCTAACATCTAACCTAAATAAAAATGGTTGTGATAGAAACCTGCTAATGAATAGGACAAGATGTGAAATGCTAACAGATTTATGTTTGTGAATGATCTATCTGAAAGCTATTTTAGGCTTCTTAAAAATATATATCCTACAATTTCTTAAAAGTCCAAGCAAGAATACCTTTAAATTC